CAAGGGCAGGACAGCGGTCCCACTGATTCTTTTTTTTCCAGAGGCTCCTGGGGCATATGGCGGCCACAGCAGCACTTACACCGCTCAGCCTGTTACATATGAGACCGCTCCAGCACTGGCTTTATGGCCGAGTCCCGAAGTGGGTGTAGAAGCACAGGACTCACCGGGTCCAAATAACACCGGCCTGTTGCCAAACCTTCACCCCGTGGTCAGATCTTGCGTTCTTCCGGGCAGGGGTGCCCCTAGAGCAGATCTCCAGGCATGCCGTGGTCTACACGGATGCCTCCACCACCGGGTGGGGTGCCACGTACAACGGGCATGCAGTCTCAGAGGTTTGGACGGGCCCGCAGCTGCACTGGCACATCAATTGCCTAGAGTTGTTGGCAGTGCGCCTTGCCTTGAACCATCTCAAAGGGCGCTTACGAGGCAAGCACGTGCTGGTCCGAACGGACAACACAGCAACTGTTGCATACATCAACCGACAAGGTGGTCTGCGCTCCCGTCGCATGTTGCAACTCGCCCGCCACCTCCTCCTTTAGAGTCGGAAGGTTCTGAGGTCACTTCGTGCTGTTCACATTCCGGGCCTGCTCAACCGTACAGCTGACAAGCTGTCTCAAGCAATGGTCCCAGGAGAATGGCGATTCCATCCCCAGACGGTCCAGCTGATTTGGAGACGTTTCGGAGCCGCTCAGGAAAACCTGTCTGCTTCTCCAGAGACCTCTCCTTGCCAGTTGTTCTACTCCCTGACCGAGGGAACACAAGGCACGGACGCACTGGCACACAGCTGGCCGTGGGGCCTACGCAAGTATGCGTTTCCCCCAGTGAGCCTTCTCACACAGACACTGTGCAAAGTCCGGGAGGATGAGGAGTGAGTCTTGCTAGTGGCGCGGTATTGGCCCACTCGGACCTGGTTCCCCGAACTAGTGGTCCTCCTTGGCCGATTCCTCTAAGGAAGGATCTACTAACTCAAGAGACGGGGCACCGTTTGGCACCCACTTAATTTTGTTGCAATTACATACCTGCAGTTTATTAAAGACAGGACAAGGATTAACACCATGCAAACACACTCGCAGTTCTTTGGTCTGTGAGAGTTGCGAGAAGAGAGAAAAGTGAACCCCTGTCCCCATTAACACTGTAACTGCATTCTAACATACTATTTAATTGGGGCCCCCTCCCAATTCCAGTAGAAAGCCTCTGCAAGCTTAAAACACCACTCCTTACACAAATAGGGGTCACATTTGCAGAATTTACATCTGCGTCTGACATATGTTCTGGTGTTTTGTTGTGTGTAAAGCCGTGACTGTCCATGTTTAAGTCACACTGCGTATCTACCCCGAAGTTCTATTGGCTGGTGATGTCGATGAAGATTACTTTCCCCGGAGATCTGCGACGGCTGATCCCTTGAGATCCAGGTCACGGCACCAATTTTGTAGCGGACTTCGTCTCTCGCCACAAAGAACCCCACGACACCACTGGCTTCGGTGGACCACATCTGCAAGTTTATTAAAGACAGGACAAGGCTTAACACCACGCAAACACACTCTCGGTTCTTTGGTGTGTGAGAGTTGCGAGAAGAGAGAAAAGTGAACCCCTGTCCCCATTAACACTGTAACTGCAGCTGATTAACGACTCAAATATAATACATGGCTACAAATATACATTTTAAGACATAAAATGACAATATACTTTTGACAAATTTAACTGCATGATGTTTTAAGAACATAATCCACCTTTTCACAGAGGAACGTGCGTGGTCGGTGCTAGCCTGATTGAATACGTTCAAGGGCAGGACAGCGGTCCCACTGATTCTTTTTTTTCCAGAGGCTCCTGGGGCATATGGCGGCCACAGCAGCACTTACACCGCTCAGCCTGTTACATATGAGACCGCTCCAGCACTGGCTTTATGGCCGAGTCCCGAAGTGGGTGTAGAAGCACAGGACTCACCGGGTCCAAATAACACCGGCCTGTTGCCAAACCTTCACCCCGTGGTCAGATCTTGCGTTCTTCCGGGCAGGGGTGCCCCTAGAGCAGATCTCCAGGCATGCCGTGGTCTACACGGATGCCTCCACCACCGGGTGGGGTGCCACGTACAACGGGCATGCAGTCTCAGAGGTTTGGACGGGCCCGCAGCTGCACTGGCACATCAATTGCCTAGAGTTGTTGGCAGTGCGCCTTGCCTTGAACCATCTCAAAGGGCGCTTACGAGGCAAGCACGTGCTGGTCCGAACGGACAACACAGCAACTGTTGCATACATCAACCGACAAGGTGGTCTGCGCTCCCGTCGCATGTTGCAACTCGCCCGCCACCTCCTCCTTTAGAGTCGGAAGGTTCTGAGGTCACTTCGTGCTGTTCACATTCCGGGCCTGCTCAACCGTACAGCTGACAAGCTGTCTCAAGCAATGGTCCCAGGAGAATGGCGATTCCATCCCCAGACGGTCCAGCTGATTTGGAGACGTTTCGGAGCCGCTCAGGAAAACCTGTCTGCTTCTCCAGAGACCTCTCCTTGCCAGTTGTTCTACTCCCTGACCGAGGGAACACAAGGCACGGACGCACTGGCACACAGCTGGCCGTGGGGCCTACGCAAGTATGCGTTTCCCCCAGTGAGCCTTCTCACACAGACACTGTGCAAAGTCCGGGAGGATGAGGAGTGAGTCTTGCTAGTGGCGCGGTATTGGCCCACTCGGACCTGGTTCCCCGAACTAGTGGTCCTCCTTGGCCGATTCCTCTAAGGAAGGATCTACTAACTCAAGAGACGGGGCACCGTTTGGCACCCACTTAATTTTGTTGCAATTACATACCTGCAGTTTATTAAAGACAGGACAAGGATTAACACCATGCAAACACACTCGCAGTTCTTTGGTCTGTGAGAGTTGCGAGAAGAGAGAAAAGTGAACCCCTGTCCCCATTAACACTGTAACTGCATTCTAACATACTATTTAATTGGGGCCCCCTCCCAATTCCAGTAGAAAGCCTCTGCAAGCTTAAAACACCACTCCTTACACAAATAGGGGTCACATTTGCAGAATTTACATCTGCGTCTGACATATGTTCTGGTGTTTTGTTGTGTGTAAAGCCGTGACTGTCCATGTTTAAGTCACACTGCGTATCTACCCCGAAGTTCTATTGGCTGGTGATGTCGATGAAGATTACTGTCCCCGGAGATCTGCGACGGCTGATCCCTTGAGATCCAGGTCACGGCACCAATTTTGTAGCGGACTTCGTCTCTCGCCACAAAGAACCCCACGACACCACTGGCTTCGGTGGACCACATCTGCAAGTTTATTAAAGACAGGACAAGGCTTAACACCACGCAAACACACTCTCGGTTCTTTGGTGTGTGAGAGTTGCGAGAAGAGAGAAAAGTGAACCCCTGTCCCCATTAACACTGTAACTGCAGCTGATTAACGACTCAAATATAATACATGGCTACAAATATACATTTTAAGACATAAAATGACAATATACTTTTGACAAATTTAACTGCATGATGTTTTAAGAACATAATCCACCTTTTTAATCTTATTTAAAAAAGTTCTTAAAGCATAAAAATACCCCGTAACTTGAACCAAATGATTAACAGCTCATTAACATGAAACTCCCAATATACTGAAAAATAATGCCAAACGAACACACTATTTGACTCAATCCAGCATCAAAACATGTCTCCCACTGATATCAACCAAAATTTTAACTCAATCTGATATATTTTAATACCATGTCACGGAGCACATTTGCGGAGTACCGGTCTCTCGCTGAAGTCCAAAGCTGTTCTGACGAGAGCGGGACGCGACTGGGCAATTCAATCAGAGGAAGTGACATCACACAACATACAACTCTATACATTATTTTAAAACAAAAATACACAGCTTCCATATACTCTTATAAGGTTATTAATAGAGAGACATGAAAATAAAAATAAAATAAATATAATTTATTTATTGGAAAAAGTAAAGTTTGCTGGAACGGTCAAACCCAAAACATTACAAATGTCTCATTCAGAGTTCGTTGACTTGCAGGCGCTTCTGCTTTCACAGGTTGTTTGGCGGATTTTCACTGGATGATGTCGAGCAAGATGCGTGCTCATGTTAGTCGTATTACCACAGTAGGATACCCGTAAACAACAGATTTTGCACGCTGCTTTAGAAATGTCTAGCTGTTCATTCCCTGGTAATTTGTGAAATCCGAAGGGTTTCCACACTTTAGATTTAAAGTGTGATGGTACAGGTGGTATATCTCTAGCCGTCATTCCATCCGCCATTTTTCACTTTCTCGTGTTCACTTCATTAGTAAGAGATATGACGTCATGTAATACTCACCGATATAACACATCGCCCTCTGCTGAAATAAAAGAGGTAACTTTCCTCCGCCTCGTATATAAGCAAGGAATAAAATAAAGCAATGCAAGTGTAAATAGAAATAAAATGTAATAACTTGTAAATAAAAAATTTGCGATAGTTAGGTGAATCGATTTTTTGTCCCATCCCTAATCGCAATACTTGTAGAATCAAATTTCTTAAAAAAAATGTAATAAAAATCGCAATACATATCGTATTGGCACCCAAGTATCAAGATAGTATCGAATCCGGAGGTAGGTGTATCATCCCATCCCTACTAGCCACAGGAGTACATATGCACAAAAGAAAATAAAAAGCCTCATGGTGAAGCATAAAGAGGTCAAGGATGCAAGTAAAAGAAGTAGTCTTGGTGTCAATCAGACAATTTTTCTTATTATATGCTTTAACAAAGAACAAACAGGGTATCATGACTTTACATACGTGTCTTTAAGTGTGAATGCAAAAAATGTATTTAGTACACTGAGTAAAACTGAATTGTCTTTGAGAAAGAATACACAGATGATTGTCACTCTGGGGTAAACGGTAATTTCTTACCCAGAATAAGTTCACAAATGGCATTTCATTCTGCTTTGACAAACTCGTCTCAAACTGAAAATACTAGCAATGTCTCTCTCCAGTGTGACCCTCAAGGTTTGCATTGTTTGTGAAACTCTTTCCACAGTGATGGCACATAAAAGGCTTTTTTCCGATGAGAATTTGAATGATTCTCATGGTGATTCCTGTCTATTCGCACTAATGACAATTAACATTTTTCTGTCTTGAGTGAATCTTCATGTGGTTTTTAAGGTTTTCTTTACGTGTGAAGCCCTTCCCACACAGTTCGCAGGTGAAAGGACTCTTTCCAGTGTGAATTCTCATGTGGGCATTAAGGAGTTTGTTCTCCGTAAAACTCTTTCCACACTGATCACATACAGATGGCTTCTCGCCAGTGTGAGTTCTCATGTGAACCTTAAGACCGTTATTAAATGAGAAACTCTTCCCACACAGTTTGCAGGTGAACGGTTTCTCTCCAGTGTGAATTCTAATGTGAATCTTAAGGCTTCCTTTGTACCCGAAACTCTTTCCACACTGAGGGCAGCTGTAAGGTTTCTCTCCAGTGTGAATGATCATGTGGGTATTAAGGCAGTGTTTCTGTGTAAAACTCTTTCCACACTGAGGGCACATTAACGGCTTTGTTTCAGTGTGATTCATCATGTGAACCTTAAGACCGTTATTTAATGAGAAACTCTTTCCGCACAGTTTGCAGGTATAAGGTCGCTCTCCAGTGTGAATTCTCATGTGGATATTAAGGCAGTTTTTCTGTGTAAAACTCTTTCCACACTGATCACATACAAATGGCTTCTCTCCAGTGTGAGTTCTCATGTGAACCTTAAGACCGTTATTGAATGAGAAACTCTTCCCACACAATTTGCAGGTGAAAGGCTTCTCTCCAGTGTGAACTCTCATGTGAGTCTTAAGTTTTCCTTTACACGTGAAATTCTTCCCACACTGAGGGCAGGTGAAAGGCTTTTCTCCAGTGTGAATTCTCATGTGGACAGCGAGGTATTTTTTCTGTGTAAAACCGTTTCCACACTGAGAGCAGGTGAACGGCTTCTCTCCAGTGTGAACTCTCATGTGAGTCTTAAGTTTTCCTTTCCACGTGAAATTCTGTCCACACTGAGGGCAGGTGAACGGCTTCTCTCCAGTGTGAATTCTCATGTGGATATTATGGCAGTTTTTCTGTGTAAAACCGTTTCCACACTGAGAGCAGGTGAACGGCTTCTCTCCAGTGTGAATTCTCATGTGGATATTATGGCAGTTTTTCTGTGTAAAACCGTTTCCACACTGAGAGCAGGTGAACGGCTTCTCTCCAGTGTGAACTCTCATGTGAGTCTTAAGTTTTCCTTTCCACGTGAAATTCTTCCCACACTGAGGGCAGGTGAACGGCTTCTCTCCAGTGTGAATTCTCATGTGGACAGTGAGGTATTTTTTCTGTGTAAAACCGTTTCCACACTGAGGGCAGGTGAAAAGACTCTCTCCAGTGTGAATTCTCATGTGGACAGTGAGGTATTTTTTCTGTGTAAAACTCTCTCTCCAGTGTGAATTCTCATGTTGGAATTAAGGTTTGTAGTTTGTGTTTTTTGAGCTTGTGAGGAAGTCTTTTTAGTCTGTGAGCAACTAATTGATTTCTCTTCAGTTTTGAAATCATGCCGTTTCGCATTCTGATCCTTCTCGTCCGTTTCATTCAGTTCTTGACTCTCCTCATTCAGCGCCATCAGGTCTGAGGTGAAAACAGACAAATACAAAGTTAAAACCAGTTTAATGTTACAAAGCAACAGACATTCTAACATTTAGTCTAGTGCTATCGATCAATTAAAAAAAACAATTTCGCATTAAATGTAAAACGAATTAAATTAATGTACAACCCGAATTCCGGAAATGTTGGGACGTTTTTTTAAATCAGAGTGTCTATTTACACTAGCTCCACCCACAAACGTGTGATAGGGATGGTCAGCACTATAAAAGACTGCCGACAATCATAAGCTTCAGTAGCGTAGATGGTAAAGCGTGTACTGTAGTCTTTTTGATGCAACCTTTTACCAAATTTTTTTCCCTCCCTTTTCAAATCTCATATCACATCGGAAATACATTTATTTTCAATAAAAATGGAAATAAAAGGAAATAATCTGAACGGCTTCTCTCCAGTATCGGGTAGGGTTAGGGAGGGCTTTATTGTTCCAATAAGGTGGCATCCATTTAATAATTTGAATTAAAATGATCATTCACACTCAATACGTTATTACTGCATACTGTTTTATAATGTACTATAATACTGAGGTGCAGATAATTGACACTATTTGCAATAAATAGTATAAATAGCAGAAAAATCCTGCTATTTTAACAGTATAATTGAGAATGAATGGGGGAAAGTCACATGAGAGGAGGCAATGCCTCCATCGCGATATGATTGGAGATGACTGGTTATGATCGGCTATGATCTCATGTTAGTGCTTGTTCCGTGTTTGCTGAATGAACAATATAATGCTTTTAATGGGAAGACTAATTTAAAAAGCAGTCCATCAGGATCAGTGTCCTTACGTTTTATTAACAGTCAGTATTGTGTAACTGTACTTTCCATAACCCCAAAATGCCACATGTCTTAAATAACGTTTTCCTAATATAAGGCCTTAAAAAGTCTTAAAATGTCTTAAATTCGGATTCGATGGGTCTTAATTATTTTTGGTCTCATTACCGCTCAAATATCTTCAGTCTGACGGAGCTAATGACTTTACAATCATTGGACAGACCGAAGAAACCCGCGGTAAGTTACTGCTTCATCAGAGAGAATTGCAGTAAGCTAGCAGAATACAGAATACAAGCTTGCGCTGAGGCTCACTCTGTCTCGAGACTTCAGAACAAATGAGCATGACAGCACACAAACTCAAAAGAAACACACTGAGGTAAAAATTCTAAATGTTTAGTTTATTCATAACATGATATAGTTAAATAACACCATGTTCCTGAATGAATCAACCGTTTAAATTATTCGGTTCAGTCACAATGACTCCCTTAACAGTGACTTACTTTTAATTTCACATTTAACAAATACAATTTTTAAAATTATTTCAAATATCAGTATTCAATGTTTTATGTTTAATATATCAAAACATTATTTATGCATTTGTAACTGCAGGTTAAATGCATTCATGTCTTGCATTAAACAGTGTGTAAACACATCTAAATGCCACTTCAGGTGCAGCTTATGTCTGGATTGCAAAGATGAATTTTGTTGATACTGATTTCATGTGCTTGGTAACAGCCCAAATGTCTTATTATTCTTATTCACTGATTAAATGTAAGAATTTGACTCAAAAGATAATGCACACTTATAGAAAAATGGCTTTATAAAGGTAAAATACCCATAAAAGGTATAAATCTATTTAAACTTATCTGACTACCACAGAATATCAAAAACTTTAGGAGTCAGCTGTCCACGAAAGTCCTTAAGATACCAGCATAACACACTCAATCAGTTGAATGAATGACTCAATACTCGCTCATTAAGTGTCTTACAGTCACTCACTGGTTGTTCAGCTGAGAAGTTTGTTGAAAAGTAAGCATTTTTCCCCTCAACATTTCTATATTTATAAATGCATTTAAAACATTAATCTCATAACATTATTTATTGCAGTTGTAATTATTGTTATTTGCAGTGTAAATGATTTAATCTGACTGGTAGTAGCTCTATAGTGTATATTGAATTTATTGATAAATTGTAATAATTTGACAGGTAAGATGATGCATACATCTAAAAAGGTTAAAAATAGGCCTTTGTAAAGGTAAATATGCAGATTTAAGTATGTAAAAGCTGATAGAACACTGATGAAAATATTGTTTCAGAATAAATTGTTTACTCCACCAAAAATCTCAGTGATGCAGTTATTTTGTGGGGATATTTTGTATGGAATATTGTCTGCTGACATGAAAAGTTCACTGTATATCATAGTAATAAATACCATTTATTACAGCATTGATATTTTGTTTTCTTTTTAATTCATACACATTAAATATTACATATATGTATGTAATAAAATGTGTATTTCCATTACAGGTTTAGGTCTTAAATTTCATATAAGGTGGTATTAAAAAGGTCTTAAAAAGTCTTAAATTTAACTTGTTCAAGTCTGCAGAAACCCTGTTTCACGTTGTGTTATTTTGTACATCTTTAAATTACTTACTTTAGACCAGGGGTCTCCAACCTTTTTGTGAGTGAGGGCTCCCTGAAAGGATAAAATAGTCTCAAGGGCTACTTGTTTGATATACTCTAATATATATATATATATACACACACACACACACACACAGGTACATCTCAAAATATTAGAATATCATGGAAAAGGTCAATATTTTTTGTCACTCATTTCAGAAAGGGAACCCCATATATTATATAGATTCATTACACACAGAGTGAAATATTTCAAGCCTTTATTTCTTGAAATTTTGATGATTATGGCTTACAGATAATGAAAACCCAAAATTCAGTGTCTCAAAAAATCAGAATATTACATAAGATCAATAAAAAAAAAGGATATTTTAAATAGAAATGTCAGGCTTCTGAAAAGTATGTTCATTTCTATGCACTCAATACTTGGTTGTGTGGAGGGTGTCAATGACTTCTGTCAAGTCAGCAGTCTTCCCCATGATTGTGTAGCCTACTGACCCAGACTGAGAGACCATTTAAAGGCTCAGGAAACCTTTTGCAGGTGTTTTGAGGTAATTAGTTGATTAGGGTGTGACACCGTGACTTTCCAATATTGAACTTTTACACAATATTCTAATTTTCTGAGACACTGAATTTTGGGTTTTCATTATCTGTAAGCCATAATCATCAAATTTTCAAGAAATAAAGGCTTGAAATATTTCACTCTATGTGTAATGAATCTATATAATAAATGGGTTTCACTTTCTGAAATGAGTGACAAAAAATATTGACCCTTTTCATGATATTCTAATTTTTTTTAGATGTACCTGTATATATGTTTTTTCTTTATATATATATATACATCTTGCCATTAATAAACATTAATTATTTCTCATAAGCATTTTAATTTTTTTTTATCAATCCAGGAAAATATTCCAAATAAATTTATAAAAAGAGGCTATCATACAATATTGATATTTATCATGATATTAATTTACCATTAATGGGGAAGAAAATGCTTTCCACATGTTTGTTAGACCTTGAGAATGAAGCTAAACATAACTGTGTTCACAATTAAATTCCACAGAGGAGCTGCGTTTTCATTTAGGGCCCATGAAATGCATTTTATTTTCCCCTAAATTCTGTGTTTTCCATTTGATTTCTTATGGATTCTGTGTTTTATGATTTAGTACAAATTTATCATAAAAAAAATGGTGTCTAGTGAAATAAATTAATAAAACTTTAACAATTTAATTAATCCTTTAAAATGTAATCAAATGAAAATCAATTGCAAAACATTTTTTTTATTTTACTTTATCAGACACATCAGAGATTCTGCACAACAGAACTGTATAAAATAATAATAAAAATAACTTTGTATGATATTCCTTAAAATTATTATTATTATTATTTTGAGAACTGCATTGTAGTATACAGTAGTAATATATTCAGTTATAATTTCAAGTTAAACCACTTTTATTTTGACGGTTTGTCGTGAAGGTCTTTCAGTTTTAGTTTCAGCGTGTATTTGACGGTACTTTTTCTCAAATGAAACTGCATAAAGCTGATGAAGTGACTCTCAGAGCAGCTCTGGAGATGAAGTTCATGTGTTCATGTCCTCATATATTGAGACGCAGACGTGTTTATTAGCGACATGCACTGGTTGCTGTAACATTTATTCGTGTGATAGGATGTTAGATTAATCCATATTGAGTAAAAATGTCCAGAGCTTATCATCATTATTAACATAAATTATATCATGACCTCGATATTATATCATGTATCGCCTGACGCTAATTTAGGCTATTTATAGAACGTGTTTGGTGGGTGACTCGGAGACTCCATGCGGGCTACCAGGTGCTCGCAGGCACCACGTTGGTGACCACTGCTTTAGACTAACTTTATTGTTATTAACTTTATTCTGTTAAAAAAAAAATAGTTTGGGACCTCGATGTTAGTCTTATCTTACTCTGTTTATTATTTGTGAAGTTGTCAAGTAAAGTAGGACAGTACTCGTGTGTGGGTCAACCATTTTTGCGAATATATGGGTCACAGCTTAATGACGATGTGGAAATGTGGGTCCCATGAGCAAACCAATTGAGAACCACTGCTTTAGAAATATCATTTATTTCTGTAGAACAGGACATTTTAAAGGGGTCATATGATGCGATTTCAATTTTTCCTTTCTCTTTGGAGTGTTACAAGCTCTTGGTGCATAAAGAAGATCTGTAAAGTTGCAAAGACTAAAGTCTCAAATCCAAAGAGATATTCTTTATAAAAGTTAAGAGTCAGCGACGCCTACCTAAAACGGCTCGTTCTAACACGCCCCCACATGTCTACCTCACTATGTGGGAAGAGTTGCATAACGCCGCCCAAATGTTTACACAAAGAAAGAAGGTGTAACTTTTATTCTCGCTGTAGTTTTGTTGCGCCCGCCATGAAAACCAACCTGTTTGTTCCTCAGTATCTTCATGTTTGACTCTGAATGTTTCTTCAATCTTCACGTCTTCACTCTCTTCTTTAATAAAAGCCATCTTTATAATAGTGTCCCGTGGATCTCAGCCGCTTCAGCAGGAGTTTTTCTGTGTTTGGACACTTTGTCCTGTTTAAGATCAAAATAATGAACAGATAGAAAAATAAATGCAAACTAAATCTCTGGGTGCGTCTCAATCAGCTCCCTAGTTCAGTAGTCAGCGCACTAGTGAGGGAGTCGGTCAGAGAGAGAGTCAAAGGCCTTAAATTATCTGATTAAAGTATACATTAAGTTTATATGAAGTATGAATTATTTATATTTGGTATTAAATTATTTGTACATCATAATAAACTGATTCCACTCTCATGAACACATTTGCAGCTGGTTTGTAAAAGCTGTCATTGTTGAACATGTTTGTGTTTGTTGTTCTGGTTTGTCTTCAGCGCGCGCGGATTCGAATCACTGAATCATTTACGAATGACTCGGTTCAGAAGATTCGGATTCTCGGTTTCTCTCTCTTCTGTCCAGTTCTTGAACGATGCACTTCTTCACGATATCGGGAGCGAAAAGAGACGCACCTTTTCTTTTATTAATACGAGGACGCGCTTTACTCACAGAAATTACACTAAATAACATATTACAACGTTACATTTAAGATTGATTCATTAATTTTTTTACATAGATTGTAAATTGACAGAACAGCTTGCATTGATTTAAAACCCACTAACCTTTCTTCAGCCGAATCACAACAGAAGCAGAGAGCGGGTTAAGACTAGAAGCGGCGCGGCGTTATGACGTCACAGCGCCAGAGCAAAATAAAAGTCCCGTTTCCACACTGATGTCTATTATATGCATATAATGCATTTCCACAATTATTAGCATCGTAAATCTAGAAACTTTTTTTTTCTTCTTTTTTTTTTAATTAATGTACATTTACAACACTATACTTTGTGTTTTCTTACCTTGCCATTAAATTACATAAAACTAGTCAACGCTGCCGCGTAAGCAGGACCGTATTAAGACCTCACTGGGCCCCGGGGCTATGACTTACGAAAATGCGTATAAATAGTACGCCAAATAAAAACGAAAACTCGTGGTATTGATACGCAAAAATGGACTTTGGCGTGCATATGATACGCATGTGTTTGGCGTGCATATGATACGCAGTTTTCACGTACATATGATACGCATCTACCCCACAGCCCTAAACCTACCCATCGCGTAGCATATACATGCCAAAGTCCATTTTTGTGTATCAATACCACAAGTTCGTTTTTATTTGGCGAGATTGGGTTAACTATATCTCTTTAAAATCTCATCATAATGACAGGATCTTATAGCCAACTAGTGCACATGCTTTATCTTTAACTATTAACGTTCATTTAAGACACAAACGACTGTGTTGACGAGGAGACGGGCATTTTGACACATAACTATGTGTATTCGAACGTTTAAACACAAGGAGCGAAAAATAACTTTTAGTTTAGGCAGGCGCTGTACGAGCAAGTATCTGAAACCGTCGTAACGCGTGCATTTGCCAAAATGAATTCTGCCCCACCGTTTAATGTCCCTGAACAGTTAAATTAGTTTTTAAACCAAAATGCTTAAAAACTAGCTTTGAATTTTAATGACTAATGTTTTCCCCTCTCTCCTCATTTTTTTCTCTCACTATTTTTTTTTTAGAATAGTTGACATTTTTACTTATCAAAGATTGTTCTTTGCATGACCGTTTCTAGATTACACCAGAATGAAGTGAAGAGAGGTAAACGCAGATCACCTGATAGATAGGCTAAGTGCACAGTTTGTTCAAAAGTAAAATATATAATAAATGCATTTGATTGGTAAACCAAATTCAAATGTGACATTTTAATCTCTAATGGTAATGCATGGAATTTACGGTAAAACTCCACTAAATAATAGCGCTAAAAAGTGAGGGGTGTGGTGGGGCTTTGGCGATCGGCGCTACCGGTGTCCATCAAGCTAGTCCACTGCCAACCATGGGCCCCCTCCTTGCTCGGGCCCCGGGGCTTCAGCCCCGCCTAGCCCAATGGTTAATGCGGCCCTGTGCGTAAGTGTTTCAATACAAGAAAGGGACCACAAATTTGACATCTTTCACTCTTTTGACTAATCAATCTCTTGTTATTTATTTATTTACTTTTTCCCCCCTTATTTGGAAAGTCACCCCAGATAGCAAAAATCATCTGTGCAACGGATTCAGGCCGGTGTCAACATACAGTAAAAATAAAATACGACAGAGTAAATTTGACTTAACTTTCTACTTACTGTGCTTACATAATATTCACCAAGCTTAAAGCAGCACTATGTAACTTTTGGCGCTCTAGCGGTTAATAAACAGAACTGCACGCATCTCGTGGAAGAACATTCTAACTGGAGCTACTTCTCGAAGTTTATGTCTCTGGCGATTCACGCAGGTATGTGTTACTCCGCAGCGGTGACCAGGCTACAATAGTCCAAATATAAGTACTAGTGTGAAAGTGAAAGTGATGTGACATGTGGCCAAGTATGGTGACCCATACTCGGAATTAGTGATCTGCATTTACCCATCCAAAGTGCACACACACAGCAGTGAACACACACAAACCGTGAACACACACCCGGAGCAGTGGGCAGCCATTTATGCTGCGGCGCCCGGGGAGCAGTTGGGGGTTCGGTGCCTTGCTCAAGGGCACCTCAGTCGTGGTATTGAAGGTGGGAGAGAGCGCTGTACATTCACTCCCCCCACCTACAATCCCTGCCGGTACGAGACTTGAACCCACAACCTTTGGGTTATGAGTCCGACTCTCTAACCATTAGGCCACGACTTCCCCCTACTTATTATAAGTGTACCGTAATGATTCGGGATAAGACAAAAAGGCTGTTTGGAAGATGAATTCATGATGTACTCGCTCATTATATACATTTAGCAAATTTTGAACACAGAAAAAGTTACATAGTGTTGCTTTAAAACAGTGCTACACAATGAAAATAATCTGAATAATTACCACATGGAAACTGTAATACAACAGTTGTTCAAATTTCAAAACTCAAAATAAATTAATCGGTAGACAATTTCACTAACTAGTGTATCACAAATTTTATTTACAGATATTTTCTTCATGTTTTGGGCCGTGTTATGCTTCTACTAACGAGGAATAACATCCAATAAATGTCCTGGGTCAGGTGTACACGAACAGTTCTTGATCTATTGTTTAAACACCGTTTCAAAGAAAAGTAAATTGCCAGTATATTTCATACTAATGATAAACTCGTATTTACAACACTGCTTCCAAAAAAGAAAAAAGTTTGGATGTTGTGTAAAGTGTAAATAAAAAACGAATGCAATGATTTGAAAAATATTCAAATTCTACATACCTGAAAATAAGAACAACATAACTTATTTCATTTATTCATTTAATTATAATTATAATTTTTTTTAAATTCTGTGCAACTACAGGAGTTGGTCTCCTCGGTCCAAAAAATGTGGTCTTGAACAGAAAAAAGCAGAGGAATTAAAAAAAATAATAATAATTTCATTGAATGAACAGTAGGTAACAGGTAGGACAGCCCCACTATTTAATTCCCATGAGGCATCTGCAAAAAAGACCAAGAAGAAAGCTGTTCGTTTTAATGAGTTCCACTGAAACAGTGTCAAGAGACAGACTATTGCTAAACTGTAAATTAACTTATATAGGTTAAGCTTATAATGTCTGTATTTGAGCTATTTTACAAAATCTAGCACAAAACCAGATCGGTGTAGATCTGTAAACCAAACTAGGGCTGTTTATAACCACACCGCGGCAGGACATCACTGGCGGTGGTATACAAAAAATACATGAAAATAATAAGTGAAGTAAATACAGTAAACTCCCCCCAAGATTTCTTTACAAACGAAATAACAGCTAAATACTGCGAATATGTTAACACTTGGATTCGTGCCAAACAAGGGCATACATTTGGATTGTAACAGTCTCATTTTGTTTTTATTCTGTTCCTGTTTGCCCGTGTTCCTGATTCTAGTTTGCTTCCATAGTTTCTGATTACGGTTACACATAGGCTCCAGAAATATCTGGTGTTTTTCAGCTTTCATCTCTCCTCGTATTCGATTTTATCACAGTCTGTATTCATTAGGTAATGTAAGAAATGGCAAGTGAAATAAAATGTCCAAAGAGTGGTAGCGTTAAAAGGTTAATGCTTTATCTTGTTTGGAAATAATGAACCACCTACACCACATGTGTCAAACTCAAACCCTATTATGAAATAATTTTATGTGGCCCGCGAGAGCAATCAATAAAAGTCTATGCTGCTTTATATCGTAAATTGACCATAAACTACATCTCCCACAATGCATGTCGATATTGCGACCCGCGAAGTGACGCCATTCCGCCACTGCATTAGTGTTTAACTAAGCGGTATTGAGAAACATCTACAAATATTAACAACAAAAAGAGAAAAATTGACGCAGAAGGAAGGCAATTTAATGAAAGATGGGAAAGTGAATACATGTTTGTGCTTCAAAGAGAAAAACCAATATGTCTTTTGTGCTGTGAGGCAGTTTCAGTGGTGAAGGAGTACAATATACGTCGGCATTTTGACACTAGACACGGAATTAAGTATGCCAAATGTAGCCTCCAAGAAAAAAAAAAAAAAATTGTACAAGAACTAAAAGACAAACTTCAATCACAGCAGGATATGTTCACAAAAGCAACAGCCCAAAGTGATGCAGCAGTGAAAGCTAGCTTTAATGTGGCTGAAGACATCACTGGAAAAAGTGTTTTTCAGGGGGGCATGCTGAAGGTGTGTCAGCAGGTGTGCCCCGACCAGATACAGACTTTTAAAAATGTCAGTTTGTCAAGAAACACCATCACAGACCGAGTTAAGGAACTAGCAGGAAATCTAACAACACCGCTGACCGCACAGTTAAATTACTTTAATAATGCATTATATATAAAGGCTTCAGTTAAAGTGTTACCTGTATTTATTAATTTAAGAAAATACTTAAAAAAGGTTACAAAATTGGATACTTACTAACTAGCCTAACCCACAATTGTCACTACTGATATATCAAATCCTAATGTTGGTTTACCTCAACGTAGTCAGGTTGATTTGGACATACATTTTTAATCATAATGTGTGATTAAACATGTATGTCCAAATCAACCTGACTACATTGAGGTAAAAAAAAAAAATCCTTGACAAAAAGTGTAATTTACACTGAATGTTTAAATTATCTTGAATTTGTTTTGTTTTAAAATAATTACAATATTTTCAGTGTTCTTTTTTGCAAACATATATTGCAAAAATGTCACTGCAGATATTCTTTACAACTTAAACATGCTTATTTGTTAAATTTACTGTATAATTGAGCTTTATACAAGTCAAGTTTAACAAATAAGCACTGATCCTCACAAACTTATCCAAAACACGCTTCTACGGCGAGCAACCGTTATACATGTACATTAATTTTGACAACTACGTGAATATACTGAACTGTGTTTAAGCAGAAATTATGTTATGATCATTGTGCCGAGAGCGCACATACACGGTTCGTTTGCAAATGAATAATAACGGACAGATGCGCGCCTAATGTACTACTCTTATAATCATCATCCATCAAAACTTTTAGAAAAAAATGCTAATAGCTGACTCGGAAAGTCAAAAATAGAACTAGTGATAACAAGGCGCTCTGATTGTTTTTGTTGTAGAATACGATAGGGGATATATTCACACGTTGGCTCGCGTTTGAGTATCACTTAGCCCCCTAGCTATCTACGCTACGGTTCAAGTGAATGTACTATGCCTTTCG